CCCCCCTTTTTTTGTAATCCCCACCTGAAATATTTACCTCAATTCTTTTTTTCTTTTTTTCCCTTTTAGTTTTTAATGTTTTTTTTTATCACATAAAAAATTAACGATTTATTTTGGTTTATTTACTGTTAATATTTACAAGATAAGTCCTTTGTGTATTTACTTATCATAAGGGTTTTTGTTATTGTGTTTAATTTGCTTGATGGCCCTGGTTTTGCCCTTTCGCGTTAATCATATTTCATAGATGCCGTGTGTAAGTTTTGGGTTTGGATCTGTGGTCTGGGTGAGTGAATTGTGACCTTTGTGTGACCTGGGTGTTGTGGTGACCGGGTGGGTGTCGGGCGTGGGCGTGTGCTGGGGGTTAAAGTGTGGGGCGGGATGGTGTGTAGGTGTCGCTGGGTGGTGTGTGTGACCCGGGGGGGGGTGTCAGGCGTGGCGTGTGCTCGCGGGTAAAGTGTGGGCGGGGATGGTTTTTAGGTGTGCGACATGGGTGGTGTGTGACCCGGGTGGGTTGTCAGGGCTGTGGGCGTTGTGCTCGCGGGTAAAGTGTGGGCGGGGATGGTTGTGTAGGTGTGCGACATGGGTGTGTGTGTGACCCGGGTGGGTGCCAGGGCGTGGGCGTGTGCTCGCGGGTAAAGTGTGGGCGGGATGGCGTGTAGGTGTGCGACATGGGTGTGTGTGTGACCCGGGTGGGTGTCAGGGCGTGGGCGTGTGCTCGCGGGTAAAGTGTAGGCGGGATGGTGTGTAGGTGTGCGACATGGGCGTGTGTGTGACCCGGGTGGGTGCCAGGGCGTGGGCGTGTGCTCGCGGGTAAAGTGTGGGCGGGATGGTGTGTAGGTGTGCGACATGGGTGTGTGTGTGACCTGGGTGGGTGTCAGGGCGTGGGCGTGTGCTCGCGGGTAAAGTGTGGGCGGGATGGTGTGTAGGTGTGCGACATGGGTGTGTGTGTGACCTGGGTGGGTGTCAGGAGCGTGGGCGTGTGCTCGCGGGGTAAAGTGTGGGCGGGATGGTTGTAGGTGTGCGACATGGGTGTGTGTGTGACCCGGGTGGGTGCCAGGGCGTGGGCGTGTGCTCGCGGTAAGTGTGGGCGGGATGGGTGTAGGTGTGCGACATGGTGTGTGTGTGACCCGGGTGGGAGTCAGGCGTGGGGCGTGTGCTCGCGGGTAAAGTGTAGGCGGGATTGGTGTGTAGGTGTGCGACATGGCGTGTGTGTGAACCGGGTGGGTGCCAGGCGTGGGCGTGTGCTCGCGGGTAAAGTGTGGGCGGGGATGGTGTGTAGGTGTGCGACATGGGTGTGTGTGTGACCTGGGTGGGTGTCAGGGCGTGGGCGTGTGCTCGCGGGTAAAGTGTGGGCGGGATGGTGTGTAGGTGTGCGACATGGGTGTGTGTGACCGGGTGGGTGTCAGGGCGTGGGCGTGTGCTCGCGGGTAAAGTGTGGGCGGGATGGTGTGTAGGAGTGTGCGACATGGGTGTGTGTGTTGACCTGGGTGGGTGTCAGGGCGTGGGCGTGTGCTCGCGGGTAAAGTGTGGGCGGGATGGTGTGTAGGTGTGCGACATGGGTGTGTGTGTGACCTGGGTGGGTGTCAGGGCGTGGGCGTGTGCTCGCGGGTAAAGTGTGGGCGGGATGGTGTGTAGGTGTGCGACAATGGTGTGTGACCTGGTGGGTGTCAGGGCGTGGGCGTGTGCTCGCGGGTAAAGTGTGGGCGGGATGGTGTGTAGGTGTGCGACATGGGTGTGTGTGTGACCTGGGTGGGTGTCAGGGCGTGGGCGTGTGCTCGCGGGTAAAGTGTGGGCGGGATGGTGTGTGGGGGGGGGGGGGGGGGGGGGGGGGGGGGGGGGGGGGGGGGGGGGGGGGGGGGGGGGGGGGGGGGGGGGGGGGGGGGGGGGGGGGGGGGGGTGGGGGGGGGGGGGGGTTGTAGGTGTGCGACATGGTGTTGTGTGTGACCTGGGTGGGTGTCAGGGCGTGGGCGTGTGCTCGCGGGTAAAGTGTGGGCGGGATGGTGTGTAGGTGTGCGACATGGGTGTGTGTGTGACCCGGGTGTGTGTGACCTGGTAATGTCTTTCTTCTGTGAAAGCATTTAATGTCGCGTCTTATGTAATCTAGACTTATATCTTTTATTTCATCTCGTTTTCGTTCTACGTCATTTCTTCGACTTGTACTACAGTTAATTACATATTTCTTCTTCCTATCTTCCTGCGGATTCCTGTGTATCGTCCCCACCTTTTCCTTAGACACACTGTTGCATTTTTGCTGTGTGGATTGAAGGCTGTTCTGAGTATATGGTAGTTAAGGTTGGGTTAACGTTCTCTCTCTCTCTCTCTCTCTCTCTCTCTCTCTCTCTCTCTCTCTCTCTCTCTCTCTCTCTCTCTCTCTCTCTCTCTCTCTCTCTCTTCTCTCTCTGTCTCTCTCTCTCTCTCTCTCCCTTGCTTTCTCTCTCCCTTGCTTTCTCCTTCCCCGTGTCACTTACTAAAAGCCTGTCGTCAGGTTACGGTAAATCTTGCGGGACTCGCACGTTTCTCTTCCTTCACCTTCACGCTCCTTTACATCTTAACACCTCCATCTCAACCTCTTGAAAAATATGGAAGAACTGCTTAAGATCACATAAATATATATATAAAAAAAAGAAATAATAATAATGATATTAACAGTAACAGCTAGCAGGGCCCCAACATAAGCGCCTTTATATCTTATACAACTTCCAGCTGTTCCTATTATGACTATTTTCTTCACGTACAACTATATTCGTAACAGGTTACTAATAACTTTACACAAGTTACTACTAACCTTACACAGGTTACTAATAACCTTACACAAGTTACTACTAACCTTACACGGGGTACTAATAACTTTACACAAGTTACTACTAACCTTACACAGGGTACTAATAACTTTACACAAGTTACTACTAACCTTACACAGGGTACTAATAACTTACACAAGTTACTACTAACCTTACACAGGGTACTAATAAACTTTACACAAGTTACTACTAACCTTACACAGGGTACTAATAACTTTACACAAGTTACTACTAACCTTACACAGGGTACTAATAACTTTACACAAGTTACTACTAACCTTACACAGGGTACTAATAACTTTACACAAGTTACTACTAACCTTACACAGGGTACTAATAACCTTACACAAGTTACTACTAACCTTACACAGGGTACTAATAACTTTACACAAGTTACTACTAACCTTACACAGGGTACTAATAACTTTACACAAGTTACTACTAACCTTACACAGGGTACTAATAACTTTACACAAGTTACTACTAACCTTACACAGGGTACTGATAACCTTACACAAGTTACTACTAACCTTACACAGGGTACTAATAACCTTACACAAGTTACTTCTAACCTTACACAGGGTACTGAAACCTTACACAAGTTATACTAACCTTACACAGGGTACTAATAACCTTACACAAGTTACTACTAACCTTACACAGGGTACTAATAACTTTACACAAGTTACTACTAACCTTACACAGGGTACTAATAACCTTACACAAGTTACTACTAACCTTACACAGGGTACTAATAACTTTACACAAGTTACTACTAACCTTACACAGGGTACTAATAACCTTACACAAGTTACTTCTAACCTTACACAAGTTACTACTAATTTACACTGGTTACTAATAACCTTACACAAGTTACTACTAACTTTACACAGGTTACTAATAACCTTACACAAGTTACTACTAACTTTACACAGGTTACTAATAACCTTACACAAGTTACTACTAACCTTACACAG